ATTTATTTATTTATTTATTTATTTATTTATTTGACAGAAAGAGAGAGAGAGAGAGAGACAGCGAGAGAGGGAACACAAGCAGGGGGAGCGGGAGAGGGAGAAGCAGGCCTCCCGCGGAGCAGGGAGCCAGCCGCGGGGCTCCCATGACCTGAGCCGAAGGCAGACGCTTAACGACTGAGCCACCCAGGCGCGCTGGATACTGGACCCTTATGAGACATACGTTTGCAAATATTTTCTGCCATTCTGTGGGTTGTCTTTTTACTTTTCCGATAGTTGTCCTTGGAGGCCCAAAAGTCTTTCATTTTGATGAAGTCCCATTTATCTATTTCTTGTTTTGTTTCCTGTGCTTTCGAGTTCAAATCTCTGATTCCATTGTCAATCAGTATCTATTTATTGAGCACCTTCCGTCTACCAGGAGCTAGGGATACTGTGGTAAATGAGACAGACTCAGTCCCTGTCCTCATGGAATGTCAGTCTAGTGGTGGCAGGGGAGAGAGCAATCTACTAACTGCTGGGATAACTTCCTCCTGTGTAATAAGGACTATGAAAAGGAGCAAAATGAGTGAAGGGCTAACCTAGGCTGAGGGGGCAAGGAAGTCCTCCCCAGGGTGGTGACTAACATCTGAAGGATGAGCGGGAGTGGGCCAGGTGAAAAGGGCAAGGAATAGAAGGAAGAGTGTTTCTGGAGAGGGAACAGCACGTACAAATCCCAGAGGTCAGAAGAACATGGCTCTTTAAGGAACAGCAAGGAGGACTGTGTGGCAGGAGCAGAGGGATGGAGGGAGAAGGGCAGGGAGTGGAGAAGGGAGAAAAGGACTTGGGGAGAGAATGTAGAGCGAAAAGAAAGGTTTGCTGAGACTTCAAGTTGGTAAACGCCAGCAATTAAAGCTATAGGAGGTCTTGGAAGACTCGAGAAGGGAGTTTCAAGGAGTAGGAAGTAGCCAACACTGGCCGGTGAGGCCAAGAAATGAATCAAGATAAGGACTTGCCTTTGGCAGCTGGAGGGTCATCGCTGGAGACCCTCGTGGGGGGGGGTCATCGCTGGAGACCCTCGTGGAAACAACTGGGTTGGGATGATGGAAGTGGAGAGCAGAATGCAGAGGGCTGAGGAGAGATTAAGAGGTGAGGAGACAGAGACGCTGAGGGGAGGAGACCTCCCCTTGGAGAGGTTTGGCGGTGAAGAGGAGAGGGAGAGTCAGGAGACTGGGCCAGAAGGTGGGGCGCAGGGGAGAGTCTCAAGCCTGTTTGTCCCCCCAAGAGCCTGGCTTCTTAATAAATGTTTATTACACTGAGCCACACTGATGGGGAGCTTGGAGATACCGGAGAGGGACCATTGACAGCATTAGGCCCGGAGGAGCCAGTGTGGAGAGCTGGAGTCACATCTTGAGAGGATAGACTGGCATCTCCTTCCTTCAAATGAGTGGCAAGAGGGAAGAAGAGCCCTTAGGAGGTGGGGTGTGGATGGTGGGTAGGGGATGGAAGGGGGCTTTTGTGTAGATAATAGAGTCAGGAGATGAAGGACTTGCATGCTTTTATTCTCCTCAGAGGACTTCGGGTTTAGCCCTGACTCTAGTCTATGACTTTCTCCAGAAACGCATCTTGCCTACTTAGTACTTGGTGGGCCCTTCCTAACTTGCTGCTTTGACTTGTGTGGGCCATGGAACAAGCTGTGGGCTCGCTGCCATTCTGTCTGAGGTCCAAGTATGTCGGTTGTGGAGAATATTAGCAAGGGAGGCACCATCTCCTTTGAGGAACAGCAGAGAGACAGGAACCTGCAATCAGTGTGCACGCATTTTAAAGAGAGGTTAACACAGGTAACCACAAGGACCTTCCAGGACCACCCGGGCCGAGAAACCAGCTTCACCACAACAGCCCGCCGAACACCTCTCCGTTCTTCCAAACGGCGGCCCATTTTCTCTGCAGCGCGCTGCGGGGGGATGCAGATCCGTGATGTCAAACCCTCTGAACCCTGCGAGGGAGATTGGATCGGTCCCCTTTTACCGATGAGGAAAGCATGACTCCAAGGGGTGAGTGACCGGTACTGCCCATCGGAACCTGGGTCAGGCCGAGCGCAGAGCCCACCAGTGGTTTTGAGCCTGGCTGGGGATGGGGGTGGGGGTTCTGTTCGCCTGGGCCTTTCCCACATGGGGCTTCGAGGTAAGCTTCGTGACAGCAAATTCTATGGAGGAAAAAAAAAAGTTTGAAAGCCAGTGCTCCCCACAGGGTTCTTTGAACTTCTCAGCTGAAGCCTGACTTTTCTTGAAGCGTTTCGTTTAGCCAGAATGGCTCTGCTTGCGTGATGCTCCCCTGCCCCGCGCCCCTCACCCCCTACCCCCTAAGCCCCTGTTGTCGCCCTGCTCCCTGACACATCCATTCTCCCCGTGACTGCCAGAGGGACTCCTCTAGAATCCCATCAGGTTACTCCTCTGCTTAGAAACCTTCTCTGGCTCCCCGCTACCTTTAGGTTAAAATCTCCGTTCCTCTTTTAGCCTCATCTATGAGACCCTTAGTGATCTGAGCCCCCATCCACTTCTCCAGCTTTGCCCTTAATCACTCCCCAGGTTCCACCTTCCTGCCAAACCGGCTGACTTACATTTCCTGGTACTTGCTCTCTTCTCCCGGATGGACCAGACCAGACATACCGAACTCCCGGCCGCCCTGCCAGGAAGCCCCTCCCCTTCTCCACGGGCCAACTCCCACTCACCCCTAGAGCCTCAGATCAGGCCTTACCTTCCTCCCTGAAAAGCCTTCCCTGCATCTCTCCCCCGGGTCAGGCCCCCCCCTGGTGCACCCCCCCCCCCCCCCAACTGCCATGCTCACCTGTCACAGCCCTGCTTCTGTCACCTTTGCTTGGCACTTGCTCCACTAGAAAGCAGATTTGCATCATCTGCCTAATTCCGTTTTGCTCCCCTGGAAAGCAGTTTCTTAGGGAATTTGTTCTTTCTCTTGGGGTAAGCATACCAGTCTTGCCTCAAAAAGCATACCAGAAATGCCAATGGCTTGATGTTAGGCAGGGAGAGTTTTCAGCATGGGAGTTTGTCCCCTGCAGCCAAACCTCAATTTTACATGGAGGAGGTAGGCTAGGGACTATCACATGATGAGAAAAATCTGTGGGGGAAGAATAGCTGACTGCAGGAGAAACGACAGAAAGCGCTCTCGAACCTTCCAGCTGACTTGGTTTTCTTGTTGGAAAAAGCAGGGCAGATGCTTGTCTCCGGTCCCCAGATCTGCTACTAGTTAAGATGCTTAGGTTCAGACTTTTCCCGTGAAGAGGGGACTACCATTCTAAGTGTCCTCTGAATGTTGGGCAAAGGCACAAGCCACTCTTCCCTCCAAGCCAGGAGCCCGCAGACCCAGCCATTGGGCAGGAAGGCCCTGTCCCGGCAGTCTTCACCAAGCCCCACCAGCCTTGGCAGCTGTCAAGGGCGACTGTGGAGCAGAACCTGCAGCCCTGCATCTATAAAATGGGCATGTGCGGCCTGGGGGGGGGGGGCGGCACCTGGGTGGCTCCGTCGGGTAAGCTTAAGCGTCTGACTTCCAATCAAGGTCGTGATCTTGGGGTCCTGGGAGGGAGCCCTGCTCAGCGGGGAGTCTGCTTTTCCCTCTTCCTCTGCCCCTCCCTGCTGGCTCATGCTCTCTCTCTCTCAAATAAATAAATCCTTTAAAAAAAACTATAAAATGGGCACAGGAATGGAGGGAGTTATGCCAGATGCTGATGCCAACTGCCAGAATCCAGGAACCATTCGCCTTCCTCCTTTCAAACATTGAAGAAGTTCATTGAGAACAAAAAGTTATTGCTACATCACACTGTGTAAATTTGTTTTAAGGTGTAGTTCCTAGAAACATGTGACAGGCTGAAAACATTGATAGGGAGGGTTTGGATCATTTCAGGGATGAGAAGAACCCAATGGGTTATTAAGGGAAGATCGGAACATTTCTAGCACAGAGGAGGTAATGGGGGGGCAAACGGGACCGCCAGGCGGAGATGGAAACCTGTATGGATGAGTTCAGGGTAGTGTTTCTGGGCTTTCTGTGTTTGGTGATGACTGTTTTCTCCCTGGTGTTCAAGGGCAGGGAGGGGAGGGCTGGGGATGCAACAGTCCATTGCAAGGGCGGCCCAAGCTTCTAGGGATACAGTGCTATTTTGAAAATGCACTGTTCTCTGGGGCACCTGGGTGGCTCAGTCAGTTAAACGTCTGCCTTCGGCTCAGGTCATGATCCCAGCGTCCTGGGATTGAGCCCCGATTCAGGCTCCCTGCTCAGGAGTCTGCTTCTCCCTCGCCCTCTGCTCCTCCCCCTGCCAATGCACGCCCTTTCTCTCTCTCTCTCTCTCTCTCTCTCTCTCTCTCTCTCTCGCTCTTTCTCTCTCTCATATAAATAAATAAAATCTAAGAAAAAAAAAAAAGAAAATGCACTGTTCTCTAAGGCAGCATGGATCCCTAGCCACCAACTGCTTTCCCTCCTCTCAGCCAAAGTCAACCCTCCTGTATTCTACTGGCTTCATACAATTTCTGAATGGGAGCCAGTTTCCAAACTACAACTTATGTATTAGATGTAATTAAAAAGCAATGCCGAGGATTAAAGCCCCATCTTGGAAAAAGTGTCAATGTGTGTGTCTCCCAGGAGGGCAGAAGTCAAGGTAAATTACATGACTCACCACAAAACATCAGAGATGTACATTTGGAGATTTTTCCCTTTTACCACCCCTCTGCCCCCTACAGACAACTCGTCTAGGATGAGACTTGTGCCAGAAGTGGGACCTAGCTGCCAAAAGAGTCCGGGAGACAGGCAAACTGTGTGTCTCCACTCAGAACCAAGGTGAATGTAGCTCCTTCCAGCGCCCGGCTTGGCCATTTGCTGTGGGAACAAGGTCCAGAGCCTCCCGGATCACTAGCTCATGGCCATGGGTTGGTGATTCCCCGCGAATCACCCGCGAATGTAGGAAGCTTCCCGCACTCAGTGGTTAATGAAAAAAAAAAGTCACTCAAAGGACAGCTTTGTCATGTGAAAGGAAAACATACCCGGCTTTAATATGCTTAAGAAGTCATCCGTGATACATTAGAAAAAGTACCGGTAAGGTCTGGATGTCTCAGGAGCAGTTTGGGGTGGGGGGTGACTGCCCGCAGAAACAGCGAGTCTAGACTTCAGTTAGGAGCTTCCTCTGTATCAGCGGGTTCCAGTCTTAACTCATTCTTCTAGCAAGTGCTTCCCAATACACGCAGAGCTTCTGCCTGCCCAGAAATGGCTTCTGGAAGCCTAACTTTTCCTCTCCCAAGCAGGACCACACTCCTGCCCCTAACTCCTTAGTCCCCTAGTTTTGGGGACTAGTTTTGCGCTAGGAGAGCTTTGGTCTTTGCGCTCTCTCTCGGTGAGGGTTTCCCGGTCCCCAGGTCTCCTGGCCGGTGGCTGTAGGAGACCTGGGACAGGTACCTGCGACAAACCTGGAGGTGGTCCGCTGCTTGCAGGCCCAGCGCACTCGGCTGCGGCCGGAGCTGCCGCCCCTTCGGGTGGGGCCCGAGACCACCCGAGACCGAGGCCTCGACCGCAGCGTCGCGATCCGTCCGCGCTCTCCAGTCTCTGTCGCCCTCAACGGTCCTGGAAGAAGGGGAACATCTGGCGGAGGAGGCCCTGAATTTGCGCCACCCGGCTGCCCGTGTAGTTCTTCTCCTTGCCGGGCGACGCCCCCGCTCTCGCCGGGGCCTCCACGGAGGTCGTGCCCACCGAGCTCGGGGTCTGTCGCAGCGCCCGGGCAGCGGCGCCGCTGCTGTTGTTGTTGGCGTTGATCCGCTCGCAGCCGCCCGCCGCCTCCCAGTCCTCGGCCCCCGACAGCTCCCGCAGGCTCTGGGGCGCGTCGGGCCGCAGGTAGTGACAGGCCCGGTGGCCGCTGTAGTCGCGGCGCGAGGGGTCAGCCCCTAAGGCGCCCACCAGCACCTTGATGACCATGTCGTGGCCCTGCAGGGCGGCCAGGTGGAGGGGCGTGAGGCCGCCGCTGCCCGAGGCGCTCACGTCGAGCTGCAGCCCCCGGCGCTGGGCGAAGTCGTGCACCAGGATGAGCTCCTCGTGGCACCCGTGCTTGGCCAACCAGTGCAGCACCGTGTAGCCCGTGATCGGGTCGCAGCGCAGCAACAGGGAGGGCTCGGCTTCCAGCTGCTCCCACAGCACCTCCAGGCGGCCCTCGGCGGCCGCCAGGATCCACGCGTGCTCGTGGGGCTCCAGGCACAGCCCGCCGCCGCCCGGACCGTTCGGCCCGGCCGGGCTCTGCTCCTCGGCGCGCTCCTCAGACAGCCAGCCGGCGGGGGCCGCCCCCTGCAGCCCCAGCAGCTCCCGCAGCGCTCCCCGCCGGCGGCCCGAGCCCGCTCCCGAGAGCATCAGCGAGCCGTGGAGGAGGGGGTCCCGGGAGGCGGCGGTGTGGCCCCGGTACCTGCCCAGGGTGCCGGCGTCCACTCTCCAGGGGCGGGGCTGCAGGGCGCTCCGCGGGCTCAGCGCGGTGGCCGCGAGGGAGGCCTTGGGCCCCGGGCTCGCGGGCCCCCGGGGCTCGGCCATGGTCTTGCCGCCGCCGCCGCGGCGCTTCCAGTGTCGAGCGTTCGCTGCCCTTCCCGGGCCCCTCCGGGAGAGGAACTGGCGCTGGCGTTGGGGAAGGAAGCGGCTTGAGCAATTGGGCTCTGGGAGGGAGGGAGCAAAGGAGGGAAGAGGGAGGGAGAGAGCCAGCGAGCCGAGGGAGGGCCCCGGCGCGGGAGGTGGGGGGCGTGGAGGGGTGGGAGCTCCGGGCCCGGGCCCGGGGGCCAGCCCCTCTAGCGCCCCGCGGGGACCGCCGCCACCTCCGCGTCCCCGGGTGGCGGCCGGCCCCGCCTCAAACGGCCAGGTGAGCGGGGGCAGCCCCGCCTCCCGCACCGCGCGCAACTGGGGGGCGGGCGCTGGGTGGGGGCGAGCGGGCCCCGAGCGCCCCAGCCGCCGGCTTCTCGGCATCCCGGCAGCTGCAGGGGTGAAGAGGCTCTAGGGCGCCCCCTCCCCGGCGGGCTGAGCTCGGCCGGCAGCCAAGGCCTCCGGGAGCGCGATCCTTGAGCTCCTGGGCGCTGGCTCCCCGCCCCCCTCCTTCGCCCTTCCTTCTTATCTTCTGCACTTTGTCCCCGAGCAGCCTTTGTCCCGCCCCTAGCATTCAGCGAGGCGGCCTGGGACTCGGGCTCCCCTGCCTTGCCCTTTGTATGGCCTTGACCCTCCCCGCAGATCTTGGAGTTGCCCGGGATTCCTGCAGAGGAACCGAGGCAAGGATCCAGGCAGAAGTTCTTGCGGGGGGAACTGGGAAAATATTCGCGCCTGGGTGGCTTAGTCAGTAAGCGTCTGCCTTCAGCTCAGATCACGGTCCCAGGGTCCTGGGACCGAACCCCGCATCGGGCTCCCTGCTCGGCAGGAAGCCTGCTTCTCCCTCTCCCGCTCCCCCTGCTTGTGTTCCTTCTCTCGCTGTGTCTCTCTGTAAAATAAAGAAATAAAATCTTAAAAAAAAAAAAAAAAGGTGTTCCCTTCTTCCCCGCGGGTTCCCACTCGGCCCTCCGCCCTCTTCTCTTTAACCTTCCCCAAGTTGGCTTGAAGAAGCAGGCACAGGTGAATCCGTCAGCTGCCACGGGAATGCCCTGCCCTCTTCAGGGATGTGTCCCTGTTGTCTCCTCGAGGATATTTTACCTCATCCTAAGAGTGGCCTTCTCTTTGCTCTTCCTTTCCCTCAGTAAATGGTAGTTCTTGCCTCCTGCCCCCTACCATGTTAGGGAGTTCAGTTAGTGGGCGACAGGGACCCTCAGACGATTCTTGAGTCAGAGAGGGACACAGCCGTGATTAAGGTGGTGTTTGGGAAGATGATTCTGGGAGAGGCAGACAAGAAGGCAGGAGACTGTTCCAACAGTCTAGGCCAAAGGTGATGGGGGGTTCAAGCCAAGCCAGCCCACTCCACTGGGCCCACCTGTGATGGAAGGTATCAGAGGCTTTCCTCCTTGGCCCTCAAATATTTTGCCCTAAATATCTTGAGCTTTCCTTCATGACAGCCTATGCATTTGTAATCAATGTTTGAACATTTATTATGTGCCGGACACTGTGCTAGATGCTTTATATATATGTTAACACGTTTAATCCTCCCAGCCACATCAAAAGCTAAGTATTATTACTGTCCCCAGTTTGCAGAGAGGTTGAGGTCACTTGCTCAAGGTCACCCAGCAGGAAGTGGCTGAGCAGGTCTGTGTGACACCATAGCCTTTGTCCTGGCACCCAGGGACTGGCATTCAAGCCAGGCTTATCAACTGCAGATCATTCACACAAGCCCCAAATTCCAGCCCAGCAGAGGGACTTGCCTTGACCTGAGCATATCTTGAAGTCGCCCTCCTCTTCTAGAATGTCCTCCCTCAGAGCTTCTGTCTCGGGACATTCTCCCTGTCCTTCAAGGTTGGCCTCAGCTTCCACCTTCTCCAGTGTGCCTCCTCTGATGACCTCAGCCCAGGGTGATCGCTCCCCCCGCCCTCCCGCCCCAGCCGGCTGGTCGTCTTCCTCCTCTGGTACCCAGCACAGACTGCCCTGTGTTGTGTTGACACGCCAGCTAGACTCGAAGACTCTTTGATGACAGGTGTCATACTATCCTTGTGCCCCTAGTAGGTGCAGGAGAACCAGTTGTTGCCTTGTTCTGGTTTGGCCGCCTGGGAAACTGTGATTGTGTGTGCACATGGAGGGGGGCGCTGTGTGCGGGCGTGTTAGGGGGTGCGTCTGCAGCCAGAGCCTCCGTGCCCACTCCCACATCCCTGCCTCACACTGCACCTTCGGGACATCAAAAACAGCTCCTAGATTTCATCGGTTCGGAGAAAATAAGATAGTGATCACGTAGTTGCTTCACTGAGCCAACTAGCCAAAGCCACCTCTTGGCCTTTGCTGACTCCTCAGGGACCAGGCCCAGGCCCAGCGTGGGCCCCAAGCTTTCATTTTCAAAATGAACCCTGACTGACAAGCAGCTACTTCCGCTGCTCTGGAAACTCCCCTCCACAACCCCAAATCTGTAAACACCAAACCACACGCGTGCACACACACTTCCAGAATATGCAAACAGCTGCAGCAATATTTTTTTTAATCAAAATGCCAGCATGGAGAATGCAGGTTGGAAGAATGCTTGGACTATTAATTTCCCTCACCACTAAGCAAGCAAGTCCCTTCCCTATCAGCACTAATAACATCTCCGGTTCCAGTCCAAAGACCGCAAAAGCAGTTGCCTGACTGGCTGCGCACACCCATGCCGCACGCGCCCTCGCTTAGCTCTGTTGCCAGGGACCGAAGCCACGGCACCTCCCTAACGACTCGTTCCCTCTTTACTTAGCAAGTACTTCCTACCCGAGGCCACCAGCTGCACACACGGGTCCCCAGAGCCACAGCACCCCGTCTCTATTCCAGTAGAGAGGGTCTCTGGAATTTCAGAGCTGGGAGTGGGGTAGAGGATTCAGAAAGCAGAAGGGACAGTCGGGACCCACCCTCCCCAAATGAAGATGCCCATCGCCTTGAGGTGGCTGCTCCCTCCAAGAGAGTGGGGCCGAAATCCCTCAAGCCCTTGGAAATAGACTCCCCCAAAGGTGCACACGGGGTGGGTATTTGCATTTCAAATGGCGATGCCTGGTGTCTCTTCCAAATAGCCTCTCTGATGTACTTGTTCAGTTTGTTTACAGATCCTGGACTATTTGAACTAGAACTTCATGTTTTGTTGGTCGTTTCTTCATTTTTCAGATGTGATTTAACTGTCAGGAGGGGTGGCGGGAAGCAGAGAAACGTAAAGCCGAAGTGTTAGGCATACATTGAAACTCAATCTCAACGAAAAGAGAGAGGGGCTCGTGTATCTTATTAGAAGTCAATGGGGAGTGATCATTGAGCTGCAAAAATGTAATTTGCACGCAACTTTTCAGGAACATGTTCCTGGGGGGAAGCCAAAGGCACATGTATCTTTGGCTCCCAGTGGCGTGTGTCAGTGAGGCTTAGGGATTTAGAGAAATTCATGGCTGCAAAACAGGCAAGAGGGGGATATGTGGCATATGGGAAGGAAAGTCCCTCCAGCTTCTATAATCCTTGCTGATGGAGGGAGCAGGGAACATTCTTGAGGTTCTAGATATAAAATAGATTTTCTTTCTTCTGGAAACCTGTGCTGATACCATCACGTGATTCTCAATGAAGGAGAAAGCCACGAGAGAAAGCTCCTTTCCCGCTGAGCAAAAGAGTGTGTGGCTGTGTGTGCGAGGGTATGCTTGAGTGTGTTTCCGTGTGTGTGCACACACTGTCAGGCATAACTGTCTCTGGTTGTCATTTTCCCCTTTCCAAGGGTCAGGGCTTTACACAAGGACACCCCTGGGAAAGGTTTGACATTCTGAATACCTTTTCCTTGGCTGATAGAACAAATCATTTAAAAACACTTCAGGGCGCCTGGGTGGCTCAGTCAGTTTAAGCGTCTGCCTTCAGCTCAGGTCATGATCTCAGGGTCCCGGGATCCTCGTCAGGCTCCCTGCTCAGCGGGGAATATGCTACTCCCTCTCCCTCTGCCCCTCCCCTCTGCTCATGCTCTTTCTCCCTCTCTCTCTCTCTCTCATAAATAAATAAAGAATCTTTTGGGGAGGGGGGCAGCAAAGCAAGGTTTATTGAGTGATACAGAAGTGATAGTACAAAGCTCCAGAGGAGGGAGGGGACCTGAGAGGGTTGCCCTAAATAAACAAAAAACCTTAAAAAAATTAGCAAATAGTTAAAAAAAAAAAGACCTGGGCTGCAATGGCTTAACTGGATTCCACGTGTCAAGCATGGGCCCTGAAGTGCGACGAGGAAAAAAAAAATTCCCCGCGCACATTATACTGATATCCCGGAGAAGACCTGAACTATTACCACGTGGAGACACACGAGGGCGCTCTAAGCAAGTAGAGCTCCAGCAAACCAGAAAGGTCGTACAGGTGTCAACCTGGGAGGAAAGAGGCATTTGCAGGTCCTTTGTCGATGTGGATTCAGGTTTTGACCCAGGCGGCTCACCCTTGGCCCGTAAGTAGATGCGAAGAAGAAGATGCTAGCATCCGGGCCTGTGGGGAGAAGGCCGGGGTGTCATCCTGAAGAGAATGGGAACAATCTGGAAAGAGGAAGATGGTGAACAGAACATAGTGTTTCCTTACTTTATTCAAGAGGGGTAGGCTTCTGTAATATGAAAGGCTTGGAATAATAATCCCTTGTGATTTTCAAAGCGCTTTCATAGTTTGTGATGATCTCTTTGGCCCAGGCAGCAAGCCTGTGAGGTATGTAGCAAAGACAGTATTTATATCCAATTCACACAGAAGACTGAGAGAGGTTAAGTGACCTGCCCAGAGTCACACAGCTCAAAAGTGGTGGAGCAGGGTCTGCGCTCCTGCCTCGGTGTCATGCTGCCTTACCCGGGTCTGGTGGGCCAAGGCAGCTTGTCAGCCGCACTGTGCAGTATGGGAATGCCTTCTGCCTTCTGTTTCTAATCCAGACATCCCGTGTCCCAAATCACCCAATGTAGTACTCCTTAGCAATAAGGGTGACAGCTACCTGCTGGTTCTGAGCCTTTGGGTACCTGGCAGGCCCTGTGCCAAGCATTAAACGTGCATAATCATACATGAAATCTCCTAGCAGTTGTGTTTTTTTTTTTAAGATTTTATTTATTTATTTGACAGAGAGAAACACAGCGAAAGAGGGAACACAAGCGGGGGGAGTGGGAGAGGGAGAAGCAGGCT